GGATGCCATTCCCCAGGTATATACAGCAAGAAGACTCCCCTTGGCTTTGAGAGAGCCAGTTAGAGAGGAACTTGAAAAAATGAGTAAATTAGGTGTCATAAAGAAAATAAATAAACCTACTGAGTGGAGTCATCCTATGGTAGTAGTTAAAAAACCGAATGGAGATGTACGGATATGCATTGATCCAAGAAAACTCAATTATTGGATAAAAAGAGAGAGATACATGACGCCTTCCCCAGAGGAAGTTCTAGCTTTGATTCAAAAGGCAAACATATATACCGTCCTTGATGCAAAATATGCATTTTGGCAGATACCATTAACTGATGAAGCATCACTATTAACCACAATGTCTACACCATATGGGAGAAATTGTTACACAAGGATGCCGTATGGATTGAGTTCCGCTCCTGAAAATTTTCAAAGAATAATACATCAATTATATTTGGGTGTGCCAAATGTTGTTACCTATATGGACGATGCACTCATATATAGTGATAGTGAGACTGAGCATCTAAAAATACTAGAACAGGTATTGAAGATTGCCAGAGAAAATGGACTGAAATTTGATAAAACCAAAACGCAGCTAATGCAACCATCTGTGAGATACCTGGGACACATAGTTTCAACGGAAGGAATACGACCCTTGGAGTCTAAGGTAAAAGCTATACTGGATATGCCTAGACCACAAGACAAGAAAGCCTTTCAAAGATTCCTTGGCATGGTCACGTATTTGGCTAAATTTTTGCCAAACCTTTCGGATAAGACAGCAAATATGAGACTGTTGCTGCGTAAAAATGAACCTTGGGTATGGAATGACCTAAGAGATAGGGATTACAGAGATCTCAAACTACAATTAACGAGTGCACCATGCTTAAGACACTTTGATCCCAAACTAGACATAGAAATTACAACAGATACGAGTTCAAACGGATTAGGTGCAGTTTTACAGCAACAGGGTGTCCCTATAACTTATTCATCTAATGCCCTGTCTGCCGCACAAAAGAAATACTCTCAAATAGAGAAAGAACTCTTAGCAGTCTACTTTGGATGTAAAAGAAACCATTTGTACCTTTATGGTAGAAAATTTACGGCTTTTACCGATCACAAACCACTGCTTACTATAATGAAAAAACCAATGGTAGATTTGTCACCAAGACTACAACGCTTAGTATTGCAATTACAGCATTATGACTTTATTCCTAAATATATACCTGGAAAAAAATTATATACAGCTGATGCGCTATCAAAAAAAGGGACTACATAGATAATGATTTATTCATAACCCCAGAGATAGAAATATCTCAAAATAACCAAGTTCTTATGGTTACTTATTCTAATAACCGTCACCAAGATCTTGTTGAAGCAACTAATAACGACCCTGTACTGCAAGAGGTTAAAAATTATATTGAAAATGTATGGCCAATCCATAAGAAAACTATGAATCCCCTCGTCAAGCCATTTTAAGATATAAAAGAACTATACGAGTGGGAAGGTCTATTGTGCAGAGGCGTCAAATTAGTAATCCCCGAAAAGAGGAGAAATCACATATTGAGCCTACTTCATAAGGCTCATAGAGGAATTAACTCGACATTATCCTTGGCAAGAAGTACATTCTATTGGCCAGGAATGTGTCAAGAAGTGGAAGAATTTGTAAAGAAATGTCGAATATGTCAAAAATATTCTCGGAATAACACTAAAGAACCTCTTATACCTCATGAAACCGGCAATTATCCATTTCAAAAATTCGGAGTTGATTTATTTGAAATAGAAGGAAGGAAATACTTAGGAATTGTAGATTATTACACCAAGTATCCGGAAGTGTTTGAACTCTCAGGTCAACAAAAGCAGAAATGGTTATAGAGAAGCTCAAAGAAGTTTTCGCCAGATGTGGAGTCCCCGAGATCATGATGACTGACAATGGACCGCCCTTCCAATCCACAGAGATGATGGAGTTCGCCAAAGAATGGAATGTGACTCACACAACCTCGAGCCCAAGATTCCCACAGTCCAATGGCATGATCGAACGAACTATCCAGACTTTAAAGAGTACCATCATCAAATATCAACAAAGTAAACAGGTTATATATCAGGCACTACTACTTCTAAGAAACACTGAGCATAACTCATTGCCATCTCCAGCTGTCATGTTGTATGGGAGAAAGCAGAGACTCTTTTTGCCTATGAAGACAACACTGATGAACGAGAGCAGAATTTGCGAAGATTCCATCAGGAAACAGCATGAAGCTAACCAGAGCAGAATGAAGTTTTATTTTAATCGACACGAAAGGGATCTCCCTTCATTGGAGAACGGTCAGACTGTGTTGGTTAGAAATGAGAAGCAATGGTCCCCAGCTAAAGTTATAGCCCCTGGAGTTCACCCCCGATCTTATCTTCTAGAGGACACCAAAGGATCAGTTCTTAGAAGAAATCGACGAGATCTACGTCCAGCTGATACCTTATCAGGACCTACGGAAAAAGAAAGTCCTCCAGAAAAGCAAGAACAACTTGACCCTCAACCATCTACATCTTCCCAGAGCGAGGAGACTTCAGCCACAACTAGAACCAGATACGGAAGACTAGTTAAACCCCCAGTGAGGTTGAATCTTTAAGGAAAAAGGGAAGAAAGGAGAAAAGGAAATAAAAAAAAAGACGTGTAACATAAAAAGATTATTATGTTTATTGGTTTTTGACCATGATTATTAATGTTGTGATGTATAAAAGGATAGTGTAGAACAAGCGCAGCCATGCTTGTAGTAAATAAAATATATTACTATTAAACGGTGGTAATTACTGAATAAAGCCTCAACCGCTACATAACATAGGTGAGGAAGTCGAATGGACTTATATTTAATTTGCGAAGATAAAATAGTTCGAGATGCAAAGGTAGAATATAGGCGAACAGAGCGAGGGGAAACTTGCTTTGGGCCTTTCTACCTTAATTATTTAGATACTACAGGGTTCGTAAAGTCTCGTTGTCAGGTTAGTAATTGGTAAAGATTTCAGGGGATAAGCGGTTCAAATATCTTTGATCCCCATCCTGACTGTTCCTCTCGGTCAACACAGTATAGCGAGAGTCGACAGGATCTCACACCATAGATTAAGTCGACTGGATACCTCATCACAGTTTTAGTCGACAATATTCTACAAGAGTCAACAGGATCTCATCACATCTATATAGTCCTAAGTTTTTCAATTTTTTTTTATTTTGAATATAATTTTTACCATCAATAGTATAACATTATGTATTAAAAAAACTTTATTCTTTATACTTGCTACATTAAGTCCCAACTCTAAATATTCGGAATCGATCTTAAAAGTTACACCTACCAATATATTCATTATTATATGTGTTAAAAAGAAGGATATATTGGCATATAGATCGCTATGAATAGTTTAGAATATTCGGAAAAGTGAGCTTCAAAATTTTCAATTTAAATCTCTGTTGGTGTGTTATGCATATAAGAAAATTATATACATATAGAAAGGATAGTTAAAAAAAAATAAGAAGAAATATTGATAATATTGTGGCGAAGAAATAATTTATATTATTTATAATCTAACTAGACGAATGGCCCGGGCAACGCCCGGGTTTTACCCGAGTGCGTATATATTTTAAAAACGTTTTAATTCAAATACTATTCGTTACAATTATAAATTGGCGCCGTGGATGTCTCTCTTGTGAAACGTCCCGCCCCAAACTGTGTGTGTCTTGAAAATATAAAACTAAAAAGGTGAATTTTCATAAAGATTTCATCATGTCGATTTTTTTTGCATTTCACCTACTAAATCGATAGAGATAATTACATTTGCAACATGAACTTAGGTATATTGACTAAATAGAAAACTGCATAGTAATAAAGATCATTTTTTAAAGGCACCATATCGTTTTTTTTTCAATAAAATCGAAACAAAAATTAACGATAAATAACGATAATTGCCTTAAAAAGAAATTGCCTTAAAAAAAAGAAACATTCGCGGTGATTTTGTCTTGCATTCGTTTATACAATTATTATATACAAATGACCCGGGCAACGCCCGGGTTTTACCCGATTAAATGCTTTTATTCAAATACTATTCGTTACAATTATAAATTGGCGCCGTGGATGTCATTCTTGTATAATATATAAATGAGTTTTAAAAATTGTAAAAAAAAATGCATCGTCCGGGAATCGAACCCGGGCCGCCCGCGTGTCAAGCGAGCATTCTACCACTGAACCACCGATGGTTATGAAAATTCCCATCCGTGAGCTTCAGACAGACAAACAAACAGACAGAATAAGGCAAATATATAAGTAGACTAGACGAATGGCCCGGGCAACGCCCGGGTTTTACCCGAGTGCGTATATATTTTAAAAACGTTTTAATTCAAATACTATTCGTTACAATTATAAATTGGCGCCATGGATGTCACTCTTGTGAAACGTCGCGTTCCAAACTGTGTGTTTTTAAAACGTTTTAATTAAAATACTATTCGTTACAATTATAAATTGGCGCCGTGGATGTCTCTCTTGTGAAACGTCCCGCCCCAAACTGTGTGTGTCTTGAAAATATAAAAATAAAAATGTGAATTTTCATAAAGATTTCATCATGTCGATTTTCTTTCTGCATTTCACCTACTAAATCGATAGAGATAATTACATTTGCAACATGAACTTAGGTATATTGACTAAATAGAAAACTGCATAGTAATAAAGATCATTTTTTAAAGGCACCATATCGTTTTTTTTTCAATAAAATAGAAACAAAAATTAACGATAAATAACGATAATTGCCTTAAAAAGAAATTGCCTTAAAAAAATAAACATTCGCGGTGATTTTGTCTTGCATTCGTTTATACAATTATTATATACGAATGACCCGGGCGCGCGCGCAACGCCCGGGCTTTACCCGATTAAATGCTTTTGTTCAAATACTATTCGTTACAATTATAAATTGGCGCCGTGGATGTCATTCTTGTATAATATATAAATGAGTTTTAAAAATTGTAAAAAAAAAAAAAATGCATTGGCCGGGAATCGAACCCGGGGCGCCCGCGTGTCAAGCGAGCATTCTACCACTGAACCACCGATGGTTATGAAAATTCCCATCCGTGAGCTTCAGACAAACAAACAGATAAAATAAGGCAAATATATAAGTAGATACGAATGACCCGGGCAACGCCCGGGTTTTACCCGATTAAATGTTTTTATTCAAATACTATTCGTTACAATTATAAATTGGCGCCGTGGATATCATTCTTGTATAATATATAAATGAGTTTTAAAAATTGTAAAAAAAAAAAATGCATCGGCCGGGAATCGAACCCGGGCCGCCCGCGTGGCAGGCGAGCATTCTACCACTGAACCACCGATGGTTATGAAAAATCCCATCCGTGAGCTTCAGACAGACAAACAAACAGACAGAATAAGGCAAATATATAAGTAGACTAGACGAATGGCCCGGGCAACGCCCGGGTTTTACCCGAGTGCGTATATATTTTAAAAACGTTTTAATTCAAATACTATTCGTTACAATTATAAATTGGCGCCATGGATGTCACTCTTGTGAAACGTCGCGTTCCAAACTTTGTGTTTTTAAAACGTTTTAATTAAAATACTATTCGTTACAATTATAAATTGGCGCCGTGGATGTCTCTCTTGTGAAACGTCCCGCCCCAAACTGTGTGTGTCTTGAAAATATAAAAATAAAAATGTGAATTTTCATAAAGATTATATCATGTCGATTTTTTTTTTTTTTTGCATATCACCTACTAAATCGATGCAACATGAACTTAGGTATATTGACTAAATAGAAAACTGCATAGTAATAAAGATCATTTTTAAAGGCACCATATCGTTTTTTTTTCAATAAAATCGAAACAAAAATTAACGATAAATAACGATAATTGCCTTAAAAAGAAATTGCCTTAAAAAAAAGAAACATTCGCGGTGATTTTGTCTTGCATTCGTTTATACAATTATTATATACGAATGACCCGGGCGCGCGCGCAACGCCCGGGTTTTACCCGATTAAATGCTTTTGTTCAAATACTATTCGTTACAATTATAAATTGGCGCCGTGGATGTCATTCTTGTATAATATATAAATGAGTTTTAAAAATTGTAAAAAAAAAAAAAATGCATCGGCCGGGAATCGAACCCGGTCCGCCCGCGTGGCAGGCGAGCATTCTACCACTGAACCACCGATGGTTATGAAAAATCCCATCCGTGAGCTTCAGACAGACAGAATAAGGCAAATATATATAAGTAGATTATTCAATGAAAATATTTGGAAACAGATTTAAAATTTTACATTTTCTAAATCATCACTTAGTTGCCTAGCTTGCTTGTTCGATATTCTCTAGCTGTAGATAGTTTGGTTGGTTTGTTAATAATTGTCGACTAGTCGTGCTGACGTCATCAATAAATTCTTTCACACCTTCAGATATACAAAGATTTGATTTCTACGCTACAATATATAAGTTTTTGAAAATCTATCAAAAAATTTCCAAATATCTAACAATATTATTAAAATGTTCGAATATTAAAACGAGTTTGTCTAATGAAGGAGTGAAATAAGTAAAATATATAGACCGCTACGTATAGCTTGGAATCTTTTTTGAGGATTTATCTGAAACTCTTCAATTCATAGCTTTGTTGGCGCTTTAAATAAACATAGAAGATGTTTTGCTTATATAAATGATGATATTTGAACCCCATTGAGAAATAATGATAATTGGTGTAAATATTCATTTCAAAATAATTATCAAAACTAAAAACCTAATATAATTTTATTAATATTTTAAAATAAAAACGGTTTGTCCAATGAAGGAAAAAATAAGGAAATCAGTATCTTTAGAGGATATAAGAGGAGATAGGCAAAAAACTACAATTGAAAACTATTTTTGGTGTGTTTAGTAAATTTTGAATTTGGTACGACCAAGAAATATAGAGAATATTTGGTTCATTCATAGTCAGTAGTTTTCTATAACTAAGAAACAAAATTTAACATAAAAAGTTTCTTTGCAAAAATAATACTTGTATGTAATTTTATTCAATCAATAAATAAATTCCCCTTTTAGCTTCACTTTTTTCGAGTGCTTCTTCTACATGTGTCATGAAAATGCCTGAAATAAATCGGATTGAATTACAAATATTAGTTTTTAATGGCTCATTTATTAATGGTTTATTCTTTCGTACACAACCTACCAATTTCAAGACTTCTATCTTTATTTGATTTTTGGAAGAAAAATTATGATGAATTAGAATAACAATTCATTCGTACAATTGGTAATATTCTCTCTTATATTGATACTAGACGAATGGCCCGGGCAACGCCCGGGTTTTACCCGAGTGCGTATATATTTTAAAAACGTTTTAATTCAAATTCTATTCGTTACAATTATAAATTGGCGCCATGGATGTCACTCTTGTGAAACGTCCCGTTCCAAACTGTGTGTTTTTAAAATGTTTTAATTAAAATACTATTCGTTACAATTATAAATTGGCGCCGTGGATGTCTCTCTTGTGAAACGTCCCGCCCCAAACTGTGTGTGTCTTGAAAATATAAAAATAAAAATGTGAATTTTCATAAAGATTTCATCATGTCGATTTTCTTTCTGCATTTCACCTACTAAATCGATAGAGATAATTACATTTGCAACATGAACTTAGGTATATTGACTAAATAGAAAACTGCATAGTAATAAAGATCATTTTTTAAAGGCACCATATCGTTTTTTTTTCAATAAAATAGAAACAAAAATTAACGATAAATAACGATAATTGCCTTAAAAAGAAATTGCCTTAAAAAAAAAGAAACATTCGCGGTGATTTTGTCTTGCATTCGTTTATACAATTATTATATATACGAATGACCCGGGCAACGCCCGGGTTTTACCCGATTAAATGCTTTTATTCAAATACTATTCGTTACAATTATAAATTGGCGCCGTGGATGTCATTCTTGTATAATATATAAATGAGTTTTAAAAATTGTAAAAAAAAAAAAAATGCATCGGCCGGGAATCGAACCCGGGCCGCCCGCGTGGCAGGCGAGCATTCTACCACTGAACCACCGATGGTTATGAAAATTCTCATCCGTGAGCTTCAGACAAACAGACAAACAAACAGACAGAATAAGGCAATTATATAAGTAGATAATCCTTGAAAGTAGCAACTCACGAATATTTCTATGAAGTATTAATATGTCTTATAATTTATTTAACCATTGTCCAGTTCAAGTCAGATCAGGTGAGAGAGTAGTTTGTAAATAATTAAAACTTTTAGCCTAGCTGTTACTTCTAGTTTAACCTCTTCCATATTGGTTCATCTTATAAAAGAATCTTCATCTTTATAAAAGTTCTCCGTCTTTCTCCTTCCTCCTTCGATTTTTCCTCAACAATAATTTTGAATCGGTGAATAAATATATATTGCGGATTTTTCCGAAACATTATTTTTCTTTACAATTTTGCATTATGTATAATTTTTCTTGACAATTATTTTGTAGCAGTACCTGCTACAATTAAATAAATATTAGCTCGTGCTCTATATATGGTGAAAGGCAGTTTTATTGACAGTTTCCTTAACGCTACTTCTGTCTTTTGTGAGCTACAAACGTTATTCAAAAATATCTGATTGTTCGTCGGCCTGTACCCCCAATCAGTAACAATATTAACATGAAGGGTTCCTTAAAGAGTAGTAAAGGACAGGGTCTATGAGCAGTTATCAACCTTTCACAGTGCTCCTGTGTTACGACCAACGTTATCCAGGAATGTATGATGCCTGTAGTGAAGGATATGAGCAGTTATGTCATTTTTGACGACCCTCCTGTGTTGCGAAAGAAGGCTGTCTTCCTGGGAGTTATGGGCTTACAATGAGGAATGTTGCATTATGTCCGACCAGTAGCGCTACCAACGCGAAGTATCACTTGTACAGCAGTGAGATAGGGCGGTCTATAGTGATAACTCTGAATTTCCAATGATGAGAAAGTGGCAACAGTTACTAAGTGCGGGATAGCATACAAAACCTCTAAGGTATAATACACCAAAACGTGTGCATACCCAAAAATCGGTACAAAAAAGCAAGTAAAAAGTATCAAATCAAACAGACACTGAATAAGAGTTTTATAAAACGAGTAATTATATCTTTATTCCAGTGCTTAAGGGAATGGACCAAAAAGATCGTGTGATGAAAAGAGTAGCAAGTAGAAACCCAGGGAGAGAAATCGAGTTTGAAACTTCTATATTATATCGTGCATATAGGATTATATATTGTCACACCTTGCTATGTAGATGGTTTTTATTCAACTGTTTCCATTGTGCTATAGAATAAACCAGAACTCGTTCTCATTAAAAGATGACGCTTTTTTTATTTTTGTAAGGTTTCAAAGAAAAGAATAACCGGTGCGAGCCCGCCGGCACCAGCGTGGTTGGAGTAAATTATGTGTTAAAAATATTTTTAAAAAATAATATTTATATATTAAATTAGTGGAATTATTAATGAAAATATTTACAGGAGTCTATGTCGGCTGTGACATTTCTCCCTCCTCCGAAATGGTCGTGTCCTCATGACAGTCTTCTTTTCTGTCAAAGTAGGACTAATTCTTCTTATATGAACTGTTGTTATATTTGTCCGGTTCCCAGGGTTGTCTTTTGGTACAATTTAAATCGGATAATTTATTCAATATGATCTATGGGCCGAAATATCGTCTTAGTAGTTTTTCACATTTTCCAGGCTATTTGATTGGGGTCCATAATGATATTAAGTCGCCTGGTTTGTAGCTTGCTTTTCGATTTTTTTGTTATAATTAGTTTTTTTTTAAGATGTCATCTTGAAGCACGGCGCGCCGAGGGAATTAATCACGGATAGAGGAAGGAACTTCACATCTTCAATGATGAGTGATCTGAACAACCAGTGCAGAATAACCCATCGGAAGACGACCGCCTATCACCCCTAGACAAACGGACTCACGGAGAGGTTGAATAAGACCATAGCAGATATGCTGTCCATGAAAGATTGGGACAGGATTCTTCCATTCGTTACATTTGCATACAACACAGCAAAACAAGAGTCTACTGGGTTCACCCCATTT